CTATGAGATTGTTCGTCTCCACGATGTGTCTGTATCCATTTTCTCCGTTCGAGGTACGCAAGTCACATGGCATTTCTGGAGAGCTCTGCAACGTGAGTTAGGCAGGCGAGTTAAGTTGAGTACAACATTTCACCCCCAGACAGACGGCCATCCGAGCGCACCATTCAGATATTGGAGGATATGCTCCGTACATGTTTTATGGATTTCGGGGGTTCTTGGGATCAGTTCTTGCCACTTGCAGAGTTCACATACAACAACAACTACCATATGAGTATTCAGATGGCCCCTTATGAGGCCCTGTATGGGAAACAATGTCATTCTTGAGTTGGTTGGTTTGAGACGGGAGAGGCTAAGTTGTTGGGCACATATTTGGTTCGAGATGCCTTGGAGAAATTCAAGTTAATTTAGGATCATCTTCATACAACCTAGTCTAGATAGAAGAGTTATGCTGATTGGAAGGTTCGTGTTGTAGTATTTATGGTTGGATAGCGGGTTTTACATCGGGTTTCACCCATGAAGGGTGTGATGAGGTTTGGGAAGAAGGGCAAGTTGAGCCCTAGGTTTATCAGTCCTTTTAAGATCCTTTAGAGAGTTGGTGAGGTGGCCTACAAGCTTGCATTTCCACCTAGCTTATCTACAGTTCAGCTGGTGTTCCATGTTTCTATGCTCTGGAAGTATTGGACTTCAGCACTGTCCAATTGGACAAGGATTTGACTTATATTGAGAAGCCTATGGGTATCTTGGATAGATAGGTCCGGAAGTTGAAATCAAAGAATATTTCTTCAGTGAAGATTCAATGGAGGGTCATTCGGTCGAGGAGGGGACCTAAGAGACTTAACACGACATGCATAGTCGTTATCATTGCCTTTTCGTCACTTTGGGAATGTCTCTATGCATGTTCGAGAACAAACGATTGTTTTAAGAAGGGGGAAAATATAACGATCCGCCCCGTCGTTGTATATTTTCGCCATGTTTCCCCTTTCGATGTTTCACACATTTGTAATTTAGGTTTTATGTCTTGCGGGGTCGATTGGTTTTGTTCCGAGAATATTTCAGGTCGATTTAGACCTTTGGCTCGTGGCTTAGAAGCCTAAGTTGATTATAATACCAATGATTGACTTTGGTGAAAACGACTCTGGAATGGTGTTTTGACAGCTCCGATAGCTTTGTATCGTGATGTTGGACTTTGGCGTATACCCGGAATCAAATTCGAAAGCCCGTAGGTTGATTTGTGTTGATTTGCCAAAAATTGGCAAATTGAGGTTTAGAAGTTTGACCATAGGTTGACTTTTGTCTATCAGGTTCGGAATTTGATTTTGGGACTTGAAATAGGTCTGCTATGCTATTTAGAACTTGTATGCAAAATTTGGTATTATTTCGAGTTGATTTGGTAGGATTGGGACACTTAGTTTCCATTCTAGAAGTTCTTGCACTTTTCTTTTAAATTCGTGTGTTTTGGTGTCCGATTCATAGTTCTAGATGTTATTTTTGTGTTTTGATTGCGCGAGCAAGTTTGTGTGATGTTTTTAGACTTGTGTGAATATTTGGTTTGGAGCCCTGTAGGCTTAGATAAGTTTCGAACATGTCGTAGTATGGTTTGGACTGAAAATAGAGATACTAGTGTGTTGATGCCTCAGGTGTCGCAATTGCGAACACCAGCGTCACAATTGCGATAACTGGGTCGTAATGAATAGTGTCAGAATAGGGTAGCCTCGCATTTGCGACAAAAGTGTCGCATTTGTGATGAGGACAGGCTTCGCAAATGCGAAGCCAATGTCCCATTTGCAACTTCATGTTAGGCTGTCGGTGGCCACATTTGCAAGGATTTCTTCGCAATTGCGAGGGTTCACAATTGCGACAACTGCAACTGGACATAAGGGCTGGAAAGTCGGGATTTAGTCGCATTTCTCACATTTTAGAACGATAGACTCGGTATGAGTCGATTTGGAGAGGAGATTTTCATCTACAAACATTGGGTAAGTTATCCTAATCAATTTAAAACTATATTTCATGATTATATCTTAGATTCAACATCAAAATTATGTAAATCAAAGTGAAAATTTGTGAAATTTTGCCTATGTTTTGCTAAATGAGAATTTGAGTTTTGAGAGTCGATTTAGACTCGGATTTGAAAACTAACCACATATATGTACGCATGGGGCTATGAGTACTCGTAATCTAGCCTTGAACCCGGTTTTTGACCGGGCGGGCTTGGTGTCATGTCCCGATTCCCACTATAGGCCGTGATGGCGCCCAACATCACTGCTAGGCAAGCCAACGGTCTGAAACACACCCGAGGCACCCGAGACCTCATCCAACTCCACCAACAAGTCCATAAACATCATACGGACCTGCTCAGAACACTCGGAACACGTAAAACAATAATGAATCTAAGAATCGCACCCCAAAACCAAATTGAATCAACTTATGAACTTCCAACTCTTCAACTAGCTTCGAACGCGCTGAATCATACTTAGACTACTCGAAATGACATCAAATTTTGCATAAAAGTCATAATTCACCATAAGGACCTATTCCCATGATCGGTATCCCAAACGGACCTTTATAACAACAAAGTCTACTCCAAACCAAATTTAAAAAACTATAAAACCTTCAATGTGCCAACTTTCAACATTAAGCGTTGTAACGCTCCCGGATCACCCAAAAGTCAATCCGAACACATGCCCAAGTCCAAAATCATCATACGAACCTATTGGAACAATAAAATCCCGGTTTTAAGTCCGTTTACTAAAAATGTTGAGTCAAGTCAAATTCGGCCAGCTTAGGCCACTATTAAGGAACTAACTATTCTGATTTCAACCCGAACCCTTCCAAACCTAAACCAACTATACCCGCAAGTCCTAAAACATTAAAAAAAACATAATAGGAGTCTTAATTAGGGGAACAGGGATCTAGAAAGTAAAACAACTTGTCGGGTCATTACATTCTCCACCTCTAAAACAAACATTCGTCCTCAAACGGGTCTAGAATCATACATGGAATGCTAAATAAGTGTGGATATCTGCTCCACATGTCCTCCTCGGTCTCACAAGTCACATCCTCGACTGGTTGACCCCTTTACTAGACCTTTACCGCAGAAATCTTCTTAGACTTTAAATGGTGAACCTACCTGTCAACAATTGCAACTGGCTCCTCTTCATAACCCAAGCTCTCATCCAGCTGAACCGTGCTGTAATCTAACACATGTGACCTGTCAGCATGGTACTTCCAGAGTATAGACTTATGGAAGACCAGATGAACTCCCGATTGACTGGGAGGCAAAGCGAGCTCATAAGCAACCTCCCCAACTCGCCTCAACACCTCAAATGAGCTAATAAACCATGGGCTTAGCTTGCCCTTCTTCCCTAACCTCATGATACCCTTCATCAGCGAGACTTTCAAGAGAACCTTCTCACCCACAATAAATGATAAATCACATGCTTTCTCATCCATGTAACTCTTTTTTTTGGACTATGCTGTGCGAAGTCACTCCTGAATTAACTTTACCTTCTCCAAGGCATCCTTCACTAAATCCCCGCCATAAAACCTAGCCTCGCCGGGATCAAACCATCCGATGGGTGAACGACATCGCCGACAATATAAAGCCTCAAATGGAGCTATCTCGATGCTAAACTGATAATTGTTGTTATAAGCAAACTCAGCCAAAGGCAAGAATCAATCCCAGTGCACTTCAAAGTCAATCACACACGCTCTGAGCATATCCTCCAGAATCTAAACTGTCCGCTTTGATTGCCGGTCGGTCTATGGATAAAAGGCTGTGCTGAGCTCTACCAAAGTACCCAACTCACTATGTACTGCTCTCTAGAAATGCAAAGTGAACTTAGGGCCTCTATCTGAAATAATGAAAACGGGCACACCATGCAACCGGACAATTTTCTGAATGTAAATCTGGGCCAATCTCTCTGAAAAGTACCCAGCCATCATTGGAATAAAGGGTGTTGACTTGGTCAGCCTGTCGACAATGACCCAAACGGCATCAAACTTTCTCAACGTCCGCGGCAAACCAACTACAAAGTCCATAGTGATGTACTCCCATTTCCACTCCGATATAACCATCTGCTGGGGTAGGCCACCTGGTCTCTGATACTCATACTTAACCTGCTGGACAGTTAAACATCTCATTACATTCTCAACTATGACCTTCTTCATCCGCCGCCACCAATAATGCCATATCAGGTCATGACACATCTTCTTAGCACCTAGATGAATGGAATACTGAGAATTGTGTGCCTCCGCTAGAATATTCTCCTTCAAGCTATCAACATTAGGAACACATAGGTGACCATGGAGCCCCAGAACACCATCCTCACCGATAGTAACCTCCTTGGAGTAAGAACCACCCTGCAGTACCGTCTCTTTAAGAACCAACAAGTGCGGATCATCATACTGACGAGCCTTGATCCGCTCAAATAATGAAGACTGAGCCACAACATATGCAAGAACTCGACTAGGCTCTGAAATATCCAACCTCACAAGTCTGTTAGCTAAGGACTGAATGTCCAAAGCCAATGGCATCTCCTCTACTGAAATGAATGCAAAAAAACCCATACTCTTTGCCTTTCGGATCAAAAACTCGCCCCTCCTGCATCAATACACAACCCAGGCCAATGCGTGAAGCGTCGTAATACGTAGTATACATCCCTAAATCGGAAGGCAACACTAACACAGGTGATGTAGTCAATGCGGTCTTGAGCTTCTGAAAGATCGCCTCGCAATCATCGGACAATTAGAACGGCGCACCCTTCTGGGTCAATCTAGTCAAAGGTGCTGCATTAGATGAGAAGCCATTCACAAACTGATGATAATAACCTGCTAAACCCAAGAAACTCCGGAACTCGGCTGGGTGGTAGGACGAGGCCCACTCTTGACTACCTTGATCTTCCTGGGATCTACCTTAATACCCTCACCTGATACAACATTCCCCATGATGCCACGGAATCTAACCAAAACTTGAACTTGGAGAACTTATCATATAGCTTCTATTCTGGCAAGGTCTGAAGCACAACTCTCAAATGCTGCTCGTGCTCCTCCACACTACGCGAGTTGATCAATATCTCATCATTGAAGACGATGACAATTGAGTCAAGATATGTCTGGAGCACCTGGTTCATAAAATCCATAAATGTCGTCGGGGTGTTGGTCAAGCCGAAGGACTTCACTAGAAACTCATAGTGTCAATATCAAATCCGAAAAGCCATCTTCGGAACATCCGAAGCTTGCATCTTCAGCTGATGATACCTAGATCTCAAGTCAATCTTAAAGAACACCCTAGCAACCTACAACTAGTCAAACAAACCATCAATACGTGGCAATGGGTACTTATTCTTAATTGTAACTTTGTTCACCTGGCGTAATCAATGCACATCCAAATACTCACATCCTTCCTTTTCACAAACAATACCGGTGGACCCCAAGGCGACACACTCGGTTTGATGAACCCCTTCACGAGAAACTCCTCATGCTTTTCCTTCAATTCTTTCAACTCTTTCGGAGCCACGTAGTACGGTGGAATAGAGATAGGCTGGGTACCTGGTGCCAAATAAATGCTGAAATCGATATCATGATCTAGTGGCATGCCTGGTATATCGGAAGGAAATACATCGGAGAACTCTCGCTCCATGGACACTGAATCAATCGTAGGAGTCTCTATGGTAGTATCCCAAACATAAGCCAGACAAGCCAAACAACCCTTCTCGACCATGTGTTGAGCCTTCAAGAAAGAGATAACCCGACTAGATGCACTGATAGATGAACCCCTCCACTCCAATCTAGGCAACTTTGGCATCGCCAAGGTAATAGTCTTGGCATAGAAATCAATAAAGGCATGGTATAGAGACAACCAGTACATGCCTAGGATGACCTCAAAGTCGGTAATGTCGAGCAACAAAAGATCTGCTCTAGTCTCATAACAACAGAAAGTCACAATGCAGGACCGGTAAACCCGATCCACAACAACGGCGTCGCCCACTTGCGTGGACACATATACAGGAGCACCCAAGGACTCAAGAGAGATATCTAAATAATGAGAAAATAGAGAAGAACCATATGAATATGTAGACCTTTGACCAAATAGTACCTAAGCATCCCTATCGCAGAAAGAAATAATACATGTGATCACGGCTTCTGAGGCTATTGCATCTGGTCTTGCTGGAAAAGCATAGAACCTAGCTGGAGCGCCACCCGACTGGCCTCCACCTCTAGGGCGACCCTTACTCACCTGACCTCCACCTTTGGCAGGCGGGACAACTGGTGCGGTAGCTATTGTGGTGATCATGGTCTAATGGCCCTGCTATACTGCTTGCCCCGAAGCCTGGGGTAAAATTTCCTCATGTGACCAAGCTCCCCGCACTCATATCAACCTTTCGGTGTGGAAGATGACTGACCCTGAGTCTGACCCTGGAGACCTGAATACCCAATTGAAGAACCCTGAATAGCCGGTGAACGGTAGGAGCTCTCTGAAATGGCGCTAAAATAAGGCCGCATTGGCGTACCCCGAGAAGGCGGTGGTGCTAAATAAGTGGGCCTGCTGGACTGACCCCTCATGAACTGGCCCCTGCCCCCATATGGGGCACTGTTGAATCCTCCAGAATGGCGATGCCTCTTCTCCCCCATCTTAAACAATCGGCCTTGGTTGCGGATACCCTCAATCCGCCGAGCTATTAGCATAACCTGCTCGTAAGGAGTCCCATCTCAACCTCTCGGGCCATCGTAACCTGAATACCATAATGCAAGCCCGCAATACACCTCCGCCCTCTCTCTGCATCATTGGGGAGTATCATAAGTGCATGGAGAGACAACTCAGAGAACCTCGCCTCATAATCGGTCACAGACATATGACCTTCCTGGAGCCGCTCAAACTAACCTTGTAGCTCTTCCCTCTGAGAGGGTGGAATATATCTCTCTAGAGAGAGACGTGTGAACTGGTCCTAAGTCAAGGGAGGCGAACCCGCTGGTCTACTATGAATATAGGACTGCCACCATCTACGGGCCCTGTCCTCTAACTGAAATTTGGTGAAGTCGACCACGTTTGACTCCATACTCTCATGTTGTCCAGCATGTCTCTGCAATGATCAATAAAATCCTGGGGGTACTCATTTCACTCACCGCCAATAGCACGAGGATGCAGTTTTTTCCATCTATCCAACAACTTATACGGCTCGACAATCGCATCTGGTCTGGACTCTAGTGCAGCTGCTGCAACTGGCTGAGCCTCGCCCACAAGTAGTGCACCTGGGGTCTGATATATGGCAGCACCGTGCCCTGAAGCCTGAGCGATAGGGTCTGTGTTCCCCCTCCCGCCTGAGATGTGGCTGGGTCTGCTGGAAATAAACTAGCCTGCATCATAGATTCCATGAACCGCAGCATACGGCCTATGACCTCCTGAAAGCCCGGTGCGGACATGAAATCTGTCGGGGCCGACTCAGCTGCNCTTCTGCGGCTCGCCCGCTGCAGCTGGTCTGGGCTCTAATATAATCGCTGCAACTGGCTGAGCTCCGCCCATGGGTAGTGCACCCGAGGTCTGATATACAATAGCTGTATGCCCTTGAGCATGAGCGGTAGGGGTCTATGCACCCTCTCCTGCTTGAGATGTGCATAGATCTACTAGAAATAAACAAGGCTGCATCATATAGTCCATAAACCGCAACACATATAGCATGACCTCTTGGAATGAGTGCGGACCTGAAATCCGCTAGGGATGGCTCTACTACAGGTCCCTTTACATGCTCCTCAATAACAGGATCCTCCACTGGATCCACTGGTGGCACAACTGGAGCAACTCTAAGATACCATCTTCCTCTAGCACGAGCTGGAGCCCTCCCTCGGCCTCTACCTCAGCCTCTAGCAACAGGGGGAGAAGCTCCTCCACCGCTGGGTACATATGGCGCGCGCGTTCTCACCATCTGTAAGAGAATAAGAGAAAGATACTTAGCACAATATCAACTGCATGATAGGAGATGAAGAAAGACAAGTTTCCTAACACCATATAAACTCCCGAAGATAAGTACAGATGTCTCCACACCGATCCGCAAGACTCTATTTGGCTCGCTCATGGCTTGTGAGACCTATGTGAACCTAGTGCTTTGATACCAAGCTGTTACGACCCAATTCCCACTATATGCCATGATGGCACCCAACGTTGCTGCTAGGCAAACCAACGGTGAACTATCCATGTAGTTGTATATTTTAATATTTTTAAAGTCATTGATTTTATTTAATAATGAAACAAATAGTATGTGATCGTACTAATGTAAGGCATGAACTAAACATGAGAGTAAAGTTATGAATGTAATAATCAAGAACCATGAATATCTACTAGAATTTTCCAAAACCCGGTAGCACAAGTGCACGAGCATTTAGTAGAATATACAAACTCCCTAAAACTACTGTCTGAAACAGAATAAACAGAAATGATAAACATAACAAGAGAAGGCTCCGGGTGATGCAGAATGGAGCATGAGAAGTAGCTCACCACTAGGCCTCCGAGTAATGCGGATGCACGCCTGGACGAACACCAGATGTTCCTGCCTCAGAACCTGCACAATTTATGCATAAGTGTAGCGTGTGTACGTAAACAATGTGTACCTAGTAAATATCGAGTCTAACCTCGAAGAAGTAGTGACGAGTTATCGACATCGACACTTACTAGTGGTCCATATACATAATGTGCAAGAATTATAAATATGCATAAAATACCACATCAATAAAGAAATAAGAGGCAATAATTAAATGATTCATAAACAAAGTAACAAATTAAAAAGTCCCCAAATATCACATGCTTATCTCAACAAGCAAGGGCCAACACGTAATTAAATTTCTTAAGTCATGAAGGATATGTCGTGTAAAATCAGACTCCTAGCGACAACACACACGAATTATGTCGAGGTCGTACGGCCCAATATATAACAATCGTATACATACACGACCGAGGTCGTATGGCCCGATCCATGGATGCATCACATTATATATATAAATATCGTCGAGGCATTCGGCCCGGTCCAAAGGAATAGGGAAACTCTTTGGACTACGAATTTCGTGTTTACAACCCAAGGCAAGCCCATAAACGAATTATGAATTTTTCCATCAATAATTAATCATTACACCAAATCTCTAAGTGGTGAAGCTCGTTCTAACATAATCTTCAATCAAATTTTACTTATTAATTCATGTAATTAAACTAACAAGTTGAGTTTAAATAGTGTAAGTATAGCATGGTAAAGTCCTATGTCTACCTGGACATATCATGAATTTTAGCTACGTATGGACTCGCATCACTTCGTACATACGTAGCACCCACAATTAGTAGCAAATAATAATTTAAACACTTATGGGGTTAATTCCCTCTTACAAGGTCAGGCAAGAGACTTACCTCATTTCCAAATCCACTTTCCAATCCACAAATCACACTAAAAGCCTCACGTTGGTGCCGAGCAATCCAAAACTAGCCAAAGCTTGTACAAACTAATCAATATTTGCTCAAAAACGCATAATTTAACCCAATTCGGAAGATTCCTAAAATTCACCCTCGGGTCCACGTGCTCGAATTTTAGAAATTTATATAAATAAATGTTACCCATAACCTCACGAATACAAATATATAATTTCTACCAAATTCCATAATCAGTTTCGTTGTCTAATCACATTTTTATCAACACATAGGTTTTTCAACAAACACCTAAATTTTCATATTTTACTTGTTAAAATCAACCCGTAATCTATGTATTTTAACTTACATTATATAGAAATCACTTACCTTCAATAACTAGGTTAAAACCCTTCTCCAAGAAGCTCTAGAATCGGCCAAGAAATGTGAGAAATGAACAAAATAGGCCAAAGTCAAGTTTTTTATAAAGTCCACTGCCCAGCGATCCTTCTTCGCGATCGCGACAAGTGCCTCGTAATCGTGACGGAAAAAATGTCCAGGCTTAGAATAAATCCTTCGTGAATGCGACCGGGTCCTTGCAATCGCAAAAGCTAGCCTAGCCCAAGCATCCCGAACGCAATCCGCCCTTCGCGAACGCAAAGGTCAACGACCCACTGACCCCCTGGCCCTCTAACCCTTCTTGAAGCTTCGTGAATGCGACCAGTTGATCGTGAATGCGTATGGTAAATTTCCCAACCCCCCAATTCTATATATGCAAACACTACACCACCTCCACGTTCGCGAAGAAGGAAACCAGAACCAGCATATCAGCAGTTTTGGACTTAGCTCCGGGCGGTCCGAAACGCACCGCTGCCACCCGAGACCCCCTCCAACTACACCAACAAGCCTATAAAGATAATACGGACCTGCTCCAACCCCCAGAACAAGTAAAACAATAACGAAACTAAGAATTGCACCCCAAAACCAAATTGAATTAACTTATGAACTTCCAACTCTTCAACTAGCTTCGAACGCGCTGAATCATACTTAGACTACTTTAAATGATACCAAAATTTGCGTATAAGTCATAATTCCTCATACAGACCTATTCCAAGGCTCGAAATCCCAAACGGACCTGGATAACCCCAAAGTCTACCCCAAACCAAATTTAAAGAACTAAAAAATCTTCAATGTGCCATCTTTGAGCATTAAGCACCGAAACACTCCCGGATCACCCGAAACTCGATCCGAACACACGCCCAAGACCAACATCATCATACGAATCTATTGAAATCATGAAATCCTGATTCCGAGGTTGTTTACTAAAAATGTTGACTCAAGTCAAACTTGGTCGTGGTAGGCCACTATTAAGGAACAAAGTATTCTGATTTAAACCCGAACCCTTCCAAACCTAAACCGACCATCCCCACAAGTCATGAAATAGTAAAAGCACATGCAAGAAGTCTTAATTAGGGGAACGGGGATCGAGAAAGCAAAATGACAGGTCGGGTCAATACACTCGGGGTTAACTTTTTGGGAATTTTATAAATATCAAAGCTTTATTGATTGTAATTGTTTTGCCTTGTAGTGGTTGATGATATTAAATCACTTTTGGTTATAACTGAGTCGTATGGAGGAGAATGTTAGGGGAAAACCTATTTTTGAGGGTTAAGTTAGCCTAGTTGAGGTAATTATCTTACCTATCTTTGTGTGGGGGAATTGCCATTTAGGATTCGGGTTGATTGTGCTATTTGTGTTATATGAAAGCCGTGTACGCAAGCAGACGAGTGGAAACACGGATTATATATGATATTTGACTGGTTTAGGTTATTGAGACTGTTTTCATGCCTTTAATTGAATTGTTATATCATGTTATAATTCTCATTGTTAATCTACTCTTACATGTGTTAGTCTACCCTTACATGCTTTATTTGACATTGTTAACACTTGTTCTACCTGTTACTTGATACTTTTCTCTTAAATGTTTTAGTTGAAGTTATTGCCTTCCTTATTGCCTAGTTACATTTTTTATTGTTAAGCAATTCACATTCATTTTTGTTATTATTGAGATTCTTGTACACATAGTGGTTGAGCTTTGGGCTATTTGTTGTGAAAACATTGATATTGCTAATTCTTTCGGCAAGTTGTGGCATATGGGCAGTTGTGGTGCGAGTTGTGGTTATGTTGTGATATTGATACGCATGTGGTGGTATAAGGCTACGGGTTGATACGCATGCGGTGAGATAAAGTG